ACAAGTCAATTTTGCGACAAAGGATATCTCGTAGAATTCTACAAGGGCAAATGTCAAGTCAAAGACGAATCCACGAAAGAAGTCGTACTAGCCGGATCAAGAAAGAAAAACATGTATGTTGTAGATTGGAGTACAACAAAAGATTCTGTATGCTTGATGGCAAATAATTCGAATGAAGCTAGTTGGGAATGGCACAGAAGGCTAAATCATTTGAATTTCAAAACCATCAACAAGCTTGCCAAAAAGAAGTTAGTCGAAGGACTACCCAATACTGTGTTCAAGAAAAATCAAATTTGTGATGCATGCCAGAAAGGAAAACAAATCAAAGCATCATTCAAATCCAAAGCTCAAGAGTCAACATCAAGACCCTTAAGTCTACTGCACATGGATTTATTTGGTCCAGTAGACCCAGTAAGTATAAGTGGTAAGAAATATACTTTGGTTGTTGTTGATGATTTTTCTAGGTACACATGGACAATATTCATCAAGAGAAAGGATGAAGTCTTATCAAAGTTGCCAGAGCTATTGAAGCTACTGCAAGTCGAAAAAAACATGAAGATTGCAACAATACGAACCGATCGAGGAACAGAGTTCGTGAACAGAGTGATTCAATCTTACTGCAATTCACAAGGAATTTTACATCAATTATCTGCCGCACGAACGCCGCAACAAAATGGTGTAGCTGAAAGAAGAAATCGAACACTGAAGGAAGCCGCACGAGTCATGATAACGGCCGCCGGACTACCAAAGAGATTTTGGGCAGAAGCAATCAATACGGCGTGCTATACTCAAAATCGAAGTCTAATCCACAAGTCGTATAACAAAACACCATATGAATTATGGAAAGGGAGAAAACCCAATCTCACCTACTTTCATACATTTGGTTGTAAATGTTTTGTACTTGTTAATGGAAAGTCTCAATTAAAGACTTTTGACGAGCGAGCGGACGAAGGAATATTCTTGGGATATTCATCCACCAGCAAGGCGTATAGAATATTCAACAAATCAACCATGCTGGTAGAAGAATCGATTCACGTTGTGTTTGATGAAAATCACGACAAAAATGGCAAAGAAGGTGAAGGTAATCGTGATTCAATTATTTCTAACGATATGTTGGAAGATAATGTGTTGCAGGAAGTAGAAGAATCAAGTGATTTGGGTACTCACCAAATTGAGGCAATATCCTATGTGACACCCGAAATATCACGGACACCTACAACCGAAATTGCACCCAGAATTCAAGAAGAAGGAACTCCAGTAGATGAACCCGAAGATGCACCCGTCAACAATTCACAACAAGTGGAATCACAACAAGTATTCCAACAAGAAGGAAACTCTGAGAATCCAACAAGTTTCCAACCAAATCGAAAATGGCTAAGAAGTCACACACATGACTTAGTCATTGGAAATCCAAGGGACGGAGTAAAGACGCGATCATCTACTAGGAATCAACAACAAGATGCAATGTTCTCATGCTTTCTATCACAACTGGAGCCAAAGGAAATTGACGAAGCATTAGCCGATCCAAGTTGGATAGATGCCATGCAAGAGGAATTAGATCAATTCAAGCGCAATGACGTATGGAAACTTGTTCCAAGACCAACGCACCAAAATGTAATCGGCACCAAATGGGTCTTTAGGAACAAAGCGAACGAAGATGGCGTCATTGTTAGGAATAAAGCAAGATTAGTCGCAAAGGGGTATTCACAAGAAGAAGGCATTGATTTTGATGAGACATTCGCCCCCGTCGCACGACTCGAAGCAATCTGGATATTCCTAGCATACGCAGAGCACAAGAATTTCATCGTATATCAAATGGACGTAAAGAGCGCATTTCTTAATGGCTTACTTGAAGAAGAAGTTTACGTCGAACAACCACCCGGTTTTGAGGTAAAAGACGCTGGTGATCAAGTCTACAAATTAAAGAAGGCATTGTATGGGTTAAAGCAAGCTCCACGAGCTTGGTACGACACCTTGTCAATGTTCTTAATTAATTGTGGATTCACCAAAAGGTCTAGTCGATAAAACCCTCTTTAGAATTCAAGAAAATAATCACATTTTATTAGTACAAATTTATGTTGATGATATTATCTTTGGAAGTACTGATAAATCTTTATGTGAGAAATTTTCCAAGCTCATGCAAAACAGGTTCGAGATGAGTATGATGGGAGAATTAAATTACTTTTTGGGACTGCAAGTCAAGCAACTTGAAGAAGGAATTTTCATAAATCAAGCCAAGTATACAAGAGATCTTATCAAGAAGTTTGGCATAGATGGAAAATCCTCAGTCAAAATTCCCATGAGTACATCTCAAAAATTGGATAAAGATGATGAAGGAAAAGACGTCGATCAAACGATGTATCGAGGGATGATTGGATCGTTACTATACTTAACCGCAAGCAGACCAGACATATCCTACTTGGTTGGCGTATGTGCAAGATTCCAATCAAAGCCTAAAGAAAGTCATCTGATTGCAACAAAGAAGATAATTCGATATCTCAAAGGAACAATCAATGTGGGATTATGGTATCCCAAAGAAGGAGATTTTACACTAACTGGTTATTCAGATGCAGATTTTGCAGGGTGTAAAATAGACCGAAACAGTACCTCAGGGACATGCCAGTTCTTAGGGGGAAGATTGGTCTCTTGGTTCAGCAAGAAACAAAACTCCATAGCTACGAGCACTGCCGAGGCCGAATATATTGCAGCTGGGAGTTGTTGTGCACAAATTTTGTGGATGAAGCAACAATTGCTGGATTATGGAATTAAATGCGAAAATGTTAGTATTTTATGTGATAATACTAGCGCAATTGCAATAACGCAAAATCCAGTGCTCCACTCGCGAACCAAACACATCGACATCCGACATCACTTCATACGAGACCACGTCGAGAAGAAAGATTTGAAGATCGATCATGTTCCCACAGAAAATCAAATTGCCGACATTCTCACAAAACCACTGTGTGAATCTCGTTTTGCTACTCTAAGGCACGAAATGGGAATGATCGAAATGAGCTAAGTATTTCGAAACTTTTAAATTCGAAAAATTTGTGTACGTGATTTGCATGAAATTGCATGAAATTTGTTACATATGTGTTCAACATGATTTAATTTAATTAATGTGTTACAATTTATTTGTGTATATGTTAGTAATTTTATCTTACGAACTTAGGTACGTAGAAATTGGTTATTTGTTTTTAATTGCAAAAAGGGATATAAAAGTTAGGGGGAATGCATCATGATAGTAAGGGATTATATGACTTAGGGGGAATGTATTGCTAAGCTATGCTAAAAGTTAATAACAGTGCATGAAAATTGAGTTGTCAGACTGAATGGTCATCAGCTTTAATTTTAATTTTCACCTGCTTAAGTCAATCTGATGAAATTTCTTAGAAAATGTATCTAGCATCATTTTTGATCTTATCTGTTTAAATTGATTTTATTGGACGATCAATTTTAATTCTCAGTTTTATCAGATGTCGAAATTAAATTGTTAGCATGAAAAGATTTATTGCTCTAACAATTTTGTGTCGAAGAAATTTTTGCTCCATGAACATCTACAGGTGGCAGCGAATTAAAGCTTAATTTTTGGCGCTATGTACCCACAAATGGAGTATTAAAATCTGAGTTGGCAAATTTAAATCAGTGAAAGTTCGAAGTTGCCCTCAATTGTTCTACAATCTCTTTCTATCCACTAAAGGGCAAAATGGTAATTTTGATAGGCATTTATTTTGCCTCCAAGAGACAAAGAAGAAAAAGTTCATCTTCTTCCTCCCTCTCTCACCGCCGACGCATGCAAGAAGAAGAAGCAAAACTTGAAAATCTCTAAATTCAATCAAACCCATCCCAAATTTCTCACAAAAATCCATTCTATACCCAAATACCACTACAAGAAAAATGCACATAGACAACACTAGAAAGACAACAGTTTTTAAGAAAAGTGTTGTCTTTTGTATAAAAGACAACAGTTTGGTCCAAAACCGTTGTCTTTGATTCAACACTTTTGTCAAAGACAACAGTTTTTACTTAACCGTTGTTATAAGTGTGTTGTCTTTGTGCATTTTGTGAAAAGACAACACCACAACGACAATGGTTTTTAAAAACCGTTGTCTATGTGCGTTTTTTTTAAAATAAGACAACGGTTTTTTTAACTGTTGTCGTTGGTGTGTTGTCTTTAAGCGCACTGGAATACACAACACTAGAAAGACAACGGTTGTTTAAAACCGTTGTCTTTGTGCGCTCTTTTTTTTTTTTAAAAAGACAACGGTTTTATTTAACCGTTGTCGTTGGTGTGTTGTCATTAAACGTAATCGAATACACAACACTAAAACGACAACGGTTTTATAAAACCGTTGTCTTTGCATGTTCTTTATTTGTTTAAGACAACAGTTTTATTTAACCGTTGTCTTTGGTATGTTGTCTTTAAGTGTATTTGAATACACAACACTATAAAGACAACGGTTTTAAACAACCGTTGTCGTTGCGCAACATTATTTAACAGGTATATAAAATAAAAACACAAACATTAACTAGAAGAGTTGAACCTATGACCTCATGCTTAATAAGTACACGATTTTACCAACTACGCAACACAACCTCTTGTGTCTAAAGGTGCAACATCTGGTATATAACTGGGTTGCTTCTGTGTTGTTTGTGAAAACCAAGACAACAATTTTAGAAAATAGTTAAAAAGTTCCCCCCAGGAAAAATAGAACCTAAGAACCTAAGAACCTAAGACCTAGATGAAAATGTCTTCGGGGAAGAATGTACTCTATATGTGCACGACGAAGATGTAACTCCGTTTTGTCAATTGATGCCAATATCGTACACATGTATTGCTGTGTACATATGGTATGATTTAATATATATTTCGAGTCAATTATATATACTTATCACTTCTATGCTTTGTTATTCTAATTCAGTTTCCATTCCAATGTTAGGTATTTGTATAAAAAGATGATGGAAGAGAACAAGCTTGAAAAATTCAGATTTATGCAGCCATGTCATGTAGGTCATGTGCCAACGACAAGAACAGAAAAAATTTCCTAGACAAACAGTTGGAAAGTAGGGCACGAGCTTTAGCAGACAGACTGATTGACAATCCAAGTAGTGCATCACTTTTGGTGCCATGTAATGTAGGGTAAGAATGGTTACAATTATAATTTCCATTGCATATTATTTTCTATTGATGTAATATAATTTTGTGTTTCTGTATAGTTTCCATTGGATTCTGACAGTTATCAACGTCAGTAAGGATATTGTTTATTTGTGGGACCCTCTTAGTCATCGCATTCGCGATGATGATTGGAAACATGTTGTAGAAATGTAAGTTTTTTTTTTGTTATTTCTTTCGATTTATATCAGTATGATTATTACATAATATGAATAATCAACAATATATTTGAAGGGCTATTAAAATGGTTCATGCGGCCTCTGGGAATGGAAAGAAAGGACGAAGTAAAACTGCTTGGGAAATTGTCAAGGTAATTTAATATTTGTAACTAATTACATATAAGTGTTTGTATATGTTAAATTGTAATGCACATGCAAATCTTATTTAACATTTGTAGGCTCCTCGTCAGCCGGATAGTAACCAATGCGGTTTCTATGTCATGGCTTACCTGAAGACTTTAATTGAGAACATGTCGGACATTGATGATAAAGATTCTGTTCAAGCACTGGTAATAATTCCATTTCTAATTCGTGTTTAAAATTATTTTGATTTCAATGTTTCAAAGTGGAAATATGATGCATTTGAGATTCTTGTTGCCAGTATAATTTTGAGTACTCCATTTATTGTTGATGTTTATTGAATGAATGCTTTTTAGTTTTTAATTTGATCCTTTTATTCACAAAGTTTAAAGTGGAGAGATTAGAGAAAATACAAAAGCTCTTGCCTTTAGAACTGCTAAAACTCTATTACCATATAGTGGTTCTTGAAAATTACTCCTAACTTATTTCGAATTTCATTGCAATTACTAATTTATTTACTCACTTTTTACATGTAGTTCCAACAAGTTGAATATGACAAAGCGGTTATTGATCTGGTGCGTTCTGAATGGGCCGATATTGTATAAGTTATATACAGTAGGTATGATTTGATCATTAGAACGTTGTGATCTTTTAGACTTCGTGGAATTGTTTGTTGTAGTACGACTTCGTCGAATTGTTTTTTGTATTATTATGACTTGGATGATATTTGATTCGATGAGAATTGGTCATGGAAGTATTTACACTTGTTATGTTGAACCTTAGCTTGTGCAAAATTATGTAACTACACTTGGCCATGGTGAATGGATAAATTGTTTTTTGGTATATGATTAAAATTTAAGCAGGTTAAAAACCGTTGAGACAACGGTTAAAAATCGTTGTCTATTTTACAATAGAGAACAGTTTGAAACTGTTGTCTTTTCTACGAAAGACAACAGTTTATGGGCGTGACTTTTAACAACAGCAATTTCAACAACACACAATAGACAACAGTTAAAAAACCGTTGTCTATGTGCATCACTTTTAACAACACTGGTTTCAACAACATTGAATAGACAACGGGTCAAAAACCGTTGTCGTTGATAGAAAAGACAACGGTTTATAACCGTTGTCTATGTGTGTGACTTTTAACAACACCGGTTTCAACAACACTTAATAGACAACGGTTCGAAAACCGTTGTCGTTTCAAGAAAAGACAACGGTTTTTAACCGTTGTCTATGTGCGTGACTTTTAACAACACCGGTTTCAACAACACTTAATAGACAACGGTTCGAAAACCGTTGTCGTTTCAAGAAAAGACAACGGTTTTTAACCGTTGTCTATGTGCGTGACTTTTAACAACACCGGTTTCAACAACACTTAATAAACAACGGTTCGAAAACCGTTGTCGTTTCAGGAAAAGACAACGGTTTTTAACCGTTGTCTATGTGCGTGACTTTTAACAACACCGGTTTCAACAACACTTAATAGACAACGGTTAGAAAACCGTTGTCGTTTCTTGAAAAGACAACGGTTTAAAACCGTTGTCTATGTGCGTGACTTTTAACAACACCGGTTTCAACAACACTTAATAGACAACGGTTGAAAAACCGTTGTCGTTTCTAGAAAAGACAACGGTTAAAAACCGTTGTCTATGCGCGTGACCTACAACAACACCGGCTTCAACAACAGAAGTTTTACCCCTACGACAACGGTTTTTAACCGTTGTCTATGTGCATTTTTCTTGTAGTGTACCCATTACCCACCCTCACCATTGTCCTTGAAACCTCTCACAACCAAAAACCCATTTCCTTCTACCCATCTTTTTCGGACTGCCGAAACCCCTACCCGAAACCCAACTCAAAATTCCCTAATTTTTGTTCTATCAAGATGGAAGGAGCTCAAAACCCAATTGGAGCAGAAGGATCGAGGAAACTCACTCGGGTGATTCGAGGGATGATCATGGACCTTGAGGACTACAACAAGTTCATCCAAAACCAAGACTTGGGGGTAAAAATCTTAACCTCTCTTGAAAGTAGTGGGTTATTGAAATTTTGCTCTTTCAAGTATGATGGCTTCTATTTGAATGAAGTAGTAGAATTTTATAGACACGCATTTGTCGAACATGGTGTTATAAATTCTACTGTTGGAGGTGTTTTGTTGAAAATTGAGTTAGATGATGTGAGAACTCATTTTGGATTGGAGGAAAAATTGTTGAAAGTGGAAAATCACGGCTTTGATTTAAATGATTTTTGGAGTGAAATTAGACACGACACCGCACAAGTCGAGACGTGTACTAATGGCTATAAGGTTATGTTGAAGCACGAATATGGAATGCTACTTGATATAGTGCATAAAACTATTGAGTGCAAATATTCTAGTAGGAATTATTTTACTAAGAAAAATTTGCCTTTGATGCATGCCATTGTGAATGTTGTTGCCGTAGATTGGGGACGGTTTATATATGGCCGAATGGTTGATCAAATTGGGCTAGCAAAACCATTGGTGAATGGATGGTTTCCTAATGATATTGGGTACGGTTTTGTTGTTGGGGAATTGTTGAAGTTGAAAGGTGTTGCCCTATCCAAGCCAAAACCAATACAAAACCAAAATTACCTTTTTCGAACCCCAATCCCGGTTGATCCTTCCCTAGCCAATATCCGAAAACGAAAACCGGCAAATGCATCAACCCATTCCTTAGCCAAAAAGCCTCCTTCTAACCGAGCTACTAGTCACGGGGAATCCAATACCCATGAGAGAAGTAGTGATGATGCTTGTAGCCACAAAATTGTCACCATACCCGCACCCGCAACCCACACCCCAAACCCGAATGAAGAGGTGGTTTTACCAAGTAAAGTTGGGAGTATAGATGACATTCCAACTTATGGGGCAAGTAGTGAGTTGATGAAAGAGTATGAACGTGTGAGAGTTTGGAGAAATTGGAGGTTAAGTGATCATAAATCGGTTGCTACAACAATAGGACCGGATACTCTAGAGTTGGAGGAGTTTGCTTTACAATGGATTGGAACAAGAAATCTTGCTACCGCAACTAGGCTTTCGGTGATTAATGAGTGCTTTATTAAGAAAGTTGCTATTAGTCGGGGCAAGAAAGTGGCTCAAGAGGTTCACGAAAATGCCGTTGAGACAATAGATGGATTTGCTCGTGATGATATTACCCGAGCATTGGTCATTTCAAGAGAAGAAGTGCACGGCACACATGGGGAAGCATCACATTTGAAGGAGACCGAAGGTGGAAGCTTGCAAGAATTGGACCCATTTCCTTCGAATATAGGGGATGATAACCTTAGTTTTGATGCTATTTCACCTCACACGGCTACGGATGTGACGAATTCCGTGAATGAAAATTTGGAAGCAAATGTTGATGATGAAAGCCGAATGGAGGAACAAGAAAATGTGCTACAAATTGAAGTGTCACCTTTGCTACTAAGCAGTGCCGAACCGATTCATATTGCTACTGCCGAACCATTCATTCCCACTCATGATGAGCCCTTGTGTCTTGAGAATACACCACATGTGGAAGCACCGGAACCGGATAACACCACACTGCCGAGACAACCACAAGAAGAGTCACACAAGGAGGTACATTCTAGTCCCATTGATATTAATGCTTTGAAAGAAAACATTATTGGGGATGTACGAAAAGAAATTCAAGAGTTGAGAAGAGATATTTTTCAAGAATTTGAGAAAGTCCAAAATCAATTTGGTAGTGTTGAGACCAAATTAGATGACTTTCACAAGGAAGCATATGCTAAGGCCGAATCCTTGTTACTTGGACAAGGATCAATTCAAGGTAATATGGCCGAAATGTCTAAAGGGCAAGAAGCAAGAAATAGAGAGGTCTTGAAAATGTTCCTTGACTTGGGAAAGAAAGGAACGGAAGGTGAATCAAGGCTAAGATTAGTAGAGACCCAATTGAAATCTCTACTACATCAAGTTGGCGTGATTAATGATCTATTGGTTGGAGTCCAAGCAAGGCAAGACAAAGCTTCGGCGAGTTTTCAAAGTTATGTTGATGCTGCCGAAAAGGGGGAAAGAGCTAGAGGAGCCCCAAGCCATTTGGTGAACCATCTAATTGGACCCCCAAGCCATTTGGTGAACCATCTAATTGGACCGTCAACACAACGTCCATTAGTTGAATTGGTTCGACCCCCAAGTGCACCGAGAGGAGTCACACCCACGCCGAGAGGAGCTCAAGGCCGAGGGAAAAGGAGATTCATAGATTATTTGGTGACCGCTCAAAGTACGGACTTTCCAAGCCGAATAGAAGGCCAAGATCTTCACCATCAAGATCTATTTATGAAGAAAATAGATTGAAGCTTGTACAAGAGTTGGAATCATTCTTTGGACACTCAAGCAACCAAATGGTAGATGGAAGATCATTTGAAGAATGTGTTGCGTGGTATCAAGCCGGAGTGTTGCGGTGAGAAAATATTCAAGAAGCATATGGAAATTATGTTACCGAACAAGTCACCGCACCATACCAACTTGAAGAAGGAGAAGGACAAGACTTCAAGAAGTTGAGAGCACACGTGAATGCCTTAATTGGCAAGAGGTAAAATTTTGAAACCTCAATAAATTTTTTGGTGTACATAATAGCTAGCTCATTCGAATTATACTTGTGGTACAAAGTATGAAAATTGCTAGCATATGGTTTATCTCCTTATTCTTATTTTAGTTTGTTTATTTAATTGCTTTAAAGTCACAAGATTTTAAATTGGACTTAGTAATTGCATGTGAGGCGTATAATTGAGAAAATAAAATTGAAAGGGGGAAGAAAAATTAAAAGATAAAAATCAATACGCAACCCCGCGTTATAGTCTCAATATACGTTTAGGACCGTCAAAAATTAAAATCTCTAGGTCTTAAATGTGTTAAACCCGTCAAATGGCTAGTCGCAATAAAATTGGACAAAAAGATTATTTTTCAAAAATTTGACATAGCCAAATGACTTGGGTATAAGTTTTGGCATCATCAAAAAGGGGGAAATTGTTAGGAATATATTGTATAAGTTTTGATGAGCCAAATGTATTTTGTAGACCCCAATTTTATTTTATTTGAGTCAGTTCTGGTTCACCAAGTATAGTGCACCACTGCCATGAAGCCTGCATGAAGTCTACGAAAAAGCAGTTTTGAAAGAAGAATAAATGAAAGCGGGATCATAGCTTAACAGATTTATGAAGCATCAAGTTACCAAAGGTTGAGATGGACGAGATGGTAGAAGACTTGTTGAAGTATGCCTAATGTGAGATGATCCATAGTTCAATTCTCACTAGAAGCAATTTTGGTGTAAAGATGAATTGCTATCGTGAAGTAGCAATATAAGGAGATGATGTCATCATGATAGTAATATCAGGTTATACTATCATGAAAGAACAATTTTTATCGTGATAGTTGAGAATTATCGGGTGATGATGTCACGACTATCGGGAAATGACATCACGATGTGATAAAGCTAGTGGAGA